ACCAAGGTCTATATAGGACAGACGGCCAGCGAACTATACATCAGAATGAGAGAGCATAGTAGAAAAACAAACAGCCCACCGAGAAATGCAAATGAATATCAAGCGTTACTGAAAATTCAGCTATTGCGGAACACGTACTGGACACGGGACAAAAAATAGACTTAGAAAACGTTGAGGTTTTGAGGCGAGGACTACGGTACAAGTCACAGACTGATAGCCGAGGCGATAGAATTCACCAGTGTTAACAGAAATCGTTCAGCTGTAGCACCCTTCCGGTGCCTAACTGCCATGCCACCGGAAGGAAGCACGAGGACTGAGATGCTGCCAGGTTGCCCGAGCCCAGACAAGGGAAGTTGAGAGGCAGAGGTCGGGTTCGAACCACGGACCTTCCGGTCAGTAAATTCGCGCTCTAACGACTTGGGAGATGGCCCAAGTGGTTAACAGAATAGAAGGCGTGGAATTGAAAAGCGTGTGGAGAACGGTCTTGGGTCAATGGAGCTAACACGTGTTGGTATGCGATTATCAGAGGGAAGAGTAGTCATCATCTGGATTCCACCTAACCTTACGTCGCAACACTCACATGCCCACGAAGATCAAGGAAAATCTACCAGAGGCACCGGAAGTGAATCATCAAGTGAAGCACCCTGAAGTGGAAGATTAAGAAACAAAAAGCGATCAGGACTAATCTGAAACTCCTCCTACCCATCAATTCAAGATTTTGACAACCACACTAGCCGTCAAGAGCCGTTAATTGACACTCAAGGCTGATCTGGTGTATTGATCTGAAGAGGACTTACTGATTGGTTCTCCGTCTTATAACCCGGCCAATGTGGTGACCTGTTCAACCGGCCTGATGAAGCTTTTGTGTCAAAAGTGAACCGTTGCCCAAATAAAAACTACCGATGGTTTACCAAGCTCTTCTGAAACGATGCATTAAAGGTTGTTTTGGTTGTGATTGTAGTGTGACAGGTGAGGTCAATGCACAAATCTTCAAGGCTCGGGTCACCTTCGCTAATTTGAAACACCTATGGCGTCAAAGCGGTATGTCTCTGAATATCAAGGGACGTGTGTATCAGGCTAGAGTGCGGGCTGTTTTGTTGTATGGTTGTGAGAATTAGTCTGTTCGAGCAGTGGAACTGAGACGTCTTCAAGTGTTCGACAATCGTCGTCTCAGAACCACAGCTCGTGTGAGTTTGTGTCAGAGGAACCGAAACGAGGCAATTGGAAAGCGAGTTTTCGGTTGTGCAGCAAGAATGTTCATTTAAGAATGTGTCCCGCACCAGATGTGTTGGTCAGGTCATGTATTGCGCATGCCGAACCATCGTTTGCCGAAGAGTGCCGTTTTATATGCCCGATTTAGAGTAGCGAAAGCAACAAGGTGTACAATTCCTGACATGGCAGAGGGGTATAAAAGAGATTACGAAACGTTTGGGTGGTCTCGGTGCTATGTGTATTGTAGGATAGAGACCGTCTGATCCCCACTGCGCCTGATTGGAGACGCTGCAAGATATGGCTGTCAACCGATGTTAGTGGCGTTCTTGTTGTCATTTTCTATCCAGATCACCTGAATGAGTCTAGACACGTTCATTCGAAAAACAGTGGTTCAGCTGTAGGACCCTTTCGGCGCCTAACTGACACGCCACCAGAAGAAAGCATGAGGGCTGGGTTGCCCAAACCTAGACAGGGAAAGTCGATAGTCAGAGGTCGGGTTCGAACCACGGACCTTCCGGTTGGTAAATTCCCGCTCTAACCACTGAGCCATCTCGCCCGTGGGAAGGATTGTGGCAATAAGTCCATTCCCCACCCGCCTTTATTCTGTTCTTCAGCATTGGGCCTCCAAGCGAATCATGGTTGTGTGGCAGCGAAGCATCACTGTTGAACACTGATGTCACACTGTCAATGGTGATGATGACTACTCGCCTTTATTAGTCGCACTCACAAGCCGGGGAAAGAACTACTTATGGGCTGAAGTCATTCTGTATGGAAGCGTGTCTAGATTCGAGTACTTTAACCGAGTTCATTGCCATCCCCTGGCTTTAAAATGCGCATCTCCAGTGTAGCAGCGGCCGTGGCTAAAAAATGCTAATTATCCTTGAGATTCACGGAACCTTGTCGTAGCGCGCTTATCCACCAGCTAAACAAGGCGGCGTTCCACAATAATGCGCTAGGACAACCTATCTTCCTCACCATAACGCATTAACCAAGCTACCCTGTCATCATCATTGTCAGCTGTAATAACTGCGTACTCGTCGTACAGTGCTGCCGCAGTTTCGTTCACCGATGGTTTGGGGGGAGGGGTAGATAGCTGCGCATTTTTGTCCATTTCTTTCGGATGAAATGAAGCTCCCATGACCACCCGCTTCAACAAAGTGGCCTGAAAATTGCCTAACAAGCCATGACTACGTAAAAGATAGAGACCGTCTGATCCCCACTGCGCCTGATTGGAGACGCTGCAAGATATGGCTGTCAACCGATGTTAGTGGCGTTCTTGTTGTCATTTTCTATCCAGATCACCTGAATGAGTCTAGACACGTTCATTCGAAAAACAGTGGTTCAGCTGTAGGACCCTTTCGGCGCCTAACTGACACGCCACCAGAAGAAAGCATGAGGGCTGGGTTGCCCAAACCTAGACAGGGAAAGTCGATAGTCAGAGGTCGGGTTCGAACCACGGACCTTCCGGTTGGTAAATTCCCGCTCTAACCACTGAGCCATCTCGCCCGTGGGAAGGATTGTGGCAATAAGTCCATTCCCCACCCGCCTTTATTCTGTTCTTCAGCATTGGGCCTCCAAGCGAATCATGGTTGTGTGGCAGCGAAGCATCACTGTTGAACACTGATGTCACACTGTCAATGGTGATGATGACTACTCGCCTTTATTAGTCGCACTCACAAGCCGGGGAAAGAACTACTTATGGGCTGAAGTCATTCTGTATGGAAGCGTGTCTAGATTCGAGTACTTTAACCGAGTTCATTGCCATCCCCTGGCTTTAAAATGCGCATCTCCAGTGTAGCAGCGGCCGTGGCTAAAAAATGCTAATTATCCTTGAGATTCACGGAACCTTGTCGTAGCGCGCTTATCCACCAGCTAAACAAGGCGGCGTTCCACAATAATGCGCTAGGACAACCTATCTTCCTCACCATAACGCATTAACCAAGCTACCCTGTCATCATCATTGTCAGCTGTAATAACTGCGTACTCGTCGTACAGTGCTGCCGCAGTTTCGTTCACCGATGGTTTGGGGGGAGGGGTAGATAGCTGCGCATTTTTGTCCATTTCTTTCGGATGAAATGAAGCTCCCATGACCACCCGCTTCAACAAAGTGGCCTGAAAATTGCCTAACAAGCCATGACTACGTAAACCAGAATATTCATATACCATTAGCTCGTAATTCCCACTATATTTTCAGCTCATGAGCTATTAACGCGTACATTACGCCCTTCCATTGTCTTCTTTCTAATCTCGACCTGGAACCACGCTCACATAACGGTGGTCAGAAGCCAACCTACCGCTTTTTTCAGATGCACCAAGCTCCGTCGTAAGGATCCACACCTAACACAATCTACGAACCATGGGAAACTGGAAGTCCTTGTGTGATGAAATTTGGGTGACAGAGCCCTGTCAGCCACCATCGTAAAAACCTCCACGTACGGCGCGCGAACTCAAGACACGTCTTAGGACATTGGGCTAAACTTTGTGCTACACATAGAGGTGGATTGCAGAGGAAGTAGTACCCATGATCAGAGACTCTCTGTAAAAATAGCGAAACATGTAAATAGCATGGGAGGAACCAAACGCCACGTGCGCGACAACTCGGCATTTAAGTGTTTCGAGGTTGTCGTAGTTCGAGGACAGAGAGAGTCGGTCGTTCCGGAGTGAAACACGGTCAGTTCTATAACGGAGGAATGAGTGAGGATGGCTTGAACTGAGCGGTCATGTACGAGTAAAAGCTGAAACGTGAAAAGGCACCAGTATCGGACGGCCCGGGTTCAGCCCTTTTCAAAGACGGTCGGAACCCTTGATAAATATACTGGTGCTATGTGGATTGGAGGGACAATGTCCGCAGAACGGAGCACATAAGTCATTCGTCTTCAGAAATAGCCAGGAAGTTGTATGAATACCATCATCGCATTAGCTTGGTAGCTATGACGTCGAACGTAGTCTCCGGCTTTATCGTTCGAACACTGATCGAACGTAGGGAGACTAATCCGTGAAAACCAAGCTGGGTCCCGTCTTGCAAGAGAATGCAATGATCATATATTCAACCTCTGAGTGATTCTGGAAAAGCGATCCAAGCTCCAGGAACTAACAATAGTCCTTAACTTGAAAGCTGGTCTTGATACGTTGATCGTCAGGCACCACGGTAGTGTCTATGCAGCAGAAGTACCCCCACAAATTCTTAGCATTCCTTACAGCGCGGCAGGCCAACATCCTTGGGCGGGTGGTCTACGGTAAGCTCTCCCCTGAGTTAACTGAGTCAAATATTACCAGGCAACTTCAAATTTCCACTTCATGGAAGGCTCACTCCCAGCCTATAGGGTCGAAATGCTCCCAGGACACTCACACACAGATATCGAGTACGCAGACGACATAGCTCTTCTGGGATCTGACCCGGTCGGTATGCAAACAATATTAAATAATCTAAATAATTCTGCCTCGCGGTTCGGCATGCGCTTCACACCTGCAGTGTAAAGTGCTACTGCAAGAATGGGTGGGCTCGAACCCTGGCCTCATGCTTGCGGATGAACCGATTGAGGTAGTAGACAAATTTGTTTACCTGGGCAGCTGTATCAGTACCGGTGGTCTAGCCAAGTCCGATATTTCCACCAGGGTCGACGGTGCCAAAACAGCCGCTGAATCTGCATCATCTGTGGCGTGAATGATGCACCAACTAATCTGTCAAGGGTCTGGTTCACAATATTATGGTGAGTTCGATATTGCCATGTGGGTCAGAAACTTGGCCGCTGCGCGCTGACGCGGAGCAAAAATTTCAGTGTTTGGCACTCCTATGAATTCGTCAATTGTCAGAGTCCGGTGAAAACACCAAATCAGTCATGCTGAAGTAGGTCGAATGGTTTTCAAAACAACTCGCCCATGATAGACCAAACTCAACAATCGCGTTGGATTTGTCACGTGCTTCGTGTGCCAATCGACCGAATTTCTCAGAGCCCTTGTCGTACAACCACGCCCGGGGTGAAAACGAGCCAGAGGTCAACCTGCCAACGAATTATCAAAGCACCACTAGCAAACTCAGCTCGCTAGTCACTGCAGCCTTGATGGATGGAGAACCCGAGACGGAGGATGTCAATCTTTAGGGTCATTGATAGACACGGCGCGAATGAACCCACCGTTGCCCTCAGTGCGTGGCTTCCCTTACCGATCTTCCAAATGAAAAGTCCACTGCCACTCTGAGAATAACACGTCAATTATATCAAATACTACCTCCAGTGTGTAGCTATCCACCCATAGGGGCGAGATAGCTCAGTGGTTAGAGCACGAAATCACTGACCGGAAGTTACCTGGTTAGAGTCCGACCTTTACATTTCGACTTCCCTGTCTAGGCTTTGGCTACCTTCATACCCATCCCTCGTGCATTCTTCTGGTGACATGGCAGTTGGTCACCGGAAGGATGCTACACCTGGACGATTATTATTATCCACTCATACGTTCACATGGTAGCTATTTCCAATGTAAAACATGTAGGTCGTTTTAGAGCTGATGATGATGCCACAGACGACCTACTTGATGGGAAGTATCAAGAACAACCGAATCCGTTCCACCCGATGTGTCCAGAATGGATTATTGCGTGACAAACCAGAACACCACCACTGTCGCAGTGGCGCCTACACGCGTTGACCAAGAGAGCATTTTCCCCCAAGACTGAATAGCTGTCTGGAAAAAAATACACCCCACAACTTATTTGGGTTAGATGGAAACTAAGTTCGGAAGTAGGTAGGACATGTTACTTCGCCCAGGACCACCAGAAAACTCCGGAAGAAATCGAAGCACGGAAGTTTTCCAACGATTGGACATGTTCTCGGACGGTTTCGAAACAAAATTAATAGGCAGCATCAACAAATGTAACTCCGCAGCCTATAGCAGATTCACTTCGAAGCCGCTAGAAGGTAAAAAAAAGCAAAGAGGCACATCATAAGGTTTGTTAGTGGCTGACAGGAGGTGCCCTGAAGTGAATACCATGCACTCTTTGGTAGGGTAGGATTGTGAAAATCCCATTCTCAAATACCTGCTGCCTATAGCAAAATGGGTTATCCTCCCAAGCTACGGCCTAAAGGCTTTGTTTCACTCATCATCATCATCATCATTGTCAGCTGTAAGAACCGCGTACTGGTCGTACACTGACGCGGAGCAAAAATTTCAGTGTTTGGCACTCCTATGAATTCGTCAATTGTCAGAGTCCGGTGAAAACACCAAATCAGTCATGCTGAAGTAGGTCGAATGGTTTTCAAAACAACTCGCCCATGATAGACCAAACTCAACAATCGCGTTGGATTTGTCACGTGCTTCGTGTGCCAATCGACCGAATTTCTCAGAGCCCTTGTCGTACAACCACGCCCGGGGTGAAAACGAGCCAGAGGTCAACCTGCCAACGAATTATCAAAGCACCACTAGCAAACTCAGCTCGCTAGTCACTGCAGCCTTGATGGATGGAGAACCCGAGACGGAGGATGTCAATCTTTAGGGTCATTGATAGACACGGCGCGAATGAACCCACCGTTGCCCTCAGTGCGTGGCTTCCCTTACCGATCTTCCAAATGAAAAGTCCACTGCCACTCTGAGAATAACACGTCAATTATATCAAATACTACCTCCAGTGTGTAGCTATCCACCCATAGGGGCGAGATAGCTCAGTGGTTAGAGCACGAAATCACTGACCGGAAGTTACCTGGTTAGAGTCCGACCTTTACATTTCGACTTCCCTGTCTAGGCTTTGGTTGGCTTCATACCCATCCCTCGTGCATTCTTCTGGTGACATGGCAGTTGGTCACCGGAAGGATGCTACACCTGGACGATTATTATTATCCACTCATACGTTCACATGGTAGCTATTTCCAATGTAAAACATGTAGGTCGTTTTAGAGCTGATGATGATGCCACAGACGACCTACTTGATGGGAAGTATCAAGAACAACCGAATCCGTTCCACCCGATGTGTCCAGAATGGGTTATTGCGTGACAAACCAGAACACCACCACTGTCGCAGTGGCGCCTACACGCGTTGACCAAGAGAGCATTTTCCCCCAAGACTGAATAGCTGTCTGGAAAAAAATACACCCCACAACTTATTTGGGTTAGATGGAAACTAAGTTCGGAAGTAGGTAGGACATGTTACTTCGCCCAGGACCACCAGAAAACTCCGGAAGAAATCGAAGCACGGAAGTTTTCCAACGATTGGACATGTTCTCGGACGGTTTCGAAACAAAATTAATAGGCAGCATCAACAAATGTAACTCCGCAGCCTATAGCAGATTCACTTCGAAGCCGCTAGAAGGTAAAAAAAGCAAAGAGGCACATCATAAGGTTTGTTAGTGGCTGACAGGAGGTGCCCTGAAGTGAATACCATGCACTCTTTGGTAGGGTAGGATTGTGAAAATCCCATTCTCAAATACCTGCTGCCTATAGCAAAATGGGTTATCCTCCCAAGCTACGGCCTAAAGGCTTTGTTTCACTCATCATCATCATCATCATTGTCAGCTGTAAGAACCGCGTACTGGTCGTACACTGGTTGTAGCTGCCACAGTTTCGTTCACCGATGATTGGGGGG